AATCAGTACAAGTAGCATGCTCAGGGGAGTTCCTTACTTGAGTTTGCGCCGCTGTGATGCACGCAGGTATTTGATGGAGAAGATCTTTGTTGAGTCCTCTCTGTGTCGGTGCTTAAAGTGCCCTCGCTGCTGACCCCGCTGCTTTTCTCAGAGGCCGGTGGGCTATCTAAAGACCCGCTGCTTGAGGCGGAGACCTGAAGGAGATTCTGCTCCTCCTGCTGCAGAGCGTGGGTGTCCTGATGCCAGTTAGTGGGTGCTTTTTCGGGACATGAAAACGGCTAGAAAGCAATGAAGGACAGAGGTGTCATAGACACACCGACTTTGTGTTCAAGTAATTGACCATCGGCAGGTGCCCCTGACTGAGTTTTCATTAAAAAAAAAAGTCCTCCTAAACAGAAAGTTATGAGGCAAAATGTGCAAGTACCTTTCAAACAATTTATGTGACTTGAGAGTGGCTGTGATGTAGCCACCTTGTCTATTTTTAGTCCTGTTGTGTTTAGCCAGCACCAGTATGTGAGAGAGATCAATATTACGTTATCTCCACAACCAGGACCAGCAGCGCATTAAAGGCATCCAATGAAACAAGAAGTTTGAATTATTCAGGAATAAAGTCTCTGCGTAAAAGGGTTGGGGGTGGTTGTCTCTCTGATTTTATGTTATGCCATGATCCCTAATCGCAGCCTTTTTGTGTTATGCCCTGCCATACTATGGCAGCCATTTTGTGGCTGGCACCTCCAACACACACTCAACATTTGAAATGTGCCCACTGGTTCAAAAAGGTTGGCGACCCCCCAATGCAGAGTGGAGGAGTTGTAATTATCTATATTTACCTTTGCCTGAGTATTATCACTGAATACTCCCAGTACGTTTCTGAGCACAATTCAAAGTGTTGGTGCTGACCTTTAAAGCCCTAAACAGCCTCGGTCCAGTATACCTGAAGGAGCGTCTCCACACCCATCATTCTGCCCGGACACTGAGGTCCAGCGCTGAGGGCCTTCTGGTGGTTCCCTCACTGCGAGAAGCCAAGTTACAGGGAACCAGGCAGAGGGCCTTCTTAGTAGTGGCACCCGCCCTGTGGAATGCCCTCCCACCAGATGTCAAAGAGAAGAACAACTACCAGATTTTTAGAGGACATCTGAAGGCAGCCCTGTTTAGGGAAGTTTTAATGTTTAACAGACTACTGTATTTTAATGCTTTGTTGGAAGCCGCCCAGAGTGGCTGGGGAAACCCAGCTGGATGGGCGGGGTATAAATAATAAATTCTACTCTATTCTATTCTCTAACCCAAACTGCAGGCCACAGTTAATATTTAGCTGAGGGCTGATGACCATCCCCGGCATTTGTGTTAGGAGTACTCTCCTCCAGACAGTCATTGCAGAAGCTAGAGTGCATTTCACAGGGCCAGGCATCAGGAGCTGGCATTCTTGGGCAGTTGCTGAGAGATCCACACCCCAATGGGGGGATGGGGGGGATATAACTTGATTTGAAGGGCCAAGGGGTTGGGAGAAGGCTGACTTGGACCATACTGAGCTATATGGACCAAGGACTGTGTCCAACTTTTATTCAGAGTAGACCCACTGACATTAATAGAAGTAGATCCATAGGTGCAAGGACGTTGGGATACCCAATGGAGTTTACCCTCCATCTCCCTATGTGCCTCCCTCAATCTGTTATGGGGATTCCCCACAACTCACCAGAGCAGATTTGGGGACAGCAAAGGGAAGGGGTAGGCAAGTTTTGTTGGGCAAGCAAAAATCCCCTTGCTTGCAAATCTACTTCACTGCGTACAGTCCAACGGACCAAAGTTAGTCATCTCCATTAGTTTGATGGGCGTACTCTGAAAAGAACCAATGTTTGACACAACCCTAACAGTCCAACTTTGTACAAGGTAGCTTCCTCCACTCTCTTCTTCTTAAGAATTTGCCTCAGGAAGGTTTTGATAGTGCTCCAAGGCATTACAGGATACTAAAATGGTTCTACATGAGAAGCACCATGTCAGGGGCATTATGAGTAATTAAAATGGCAGATGCCTCATGGACTCGGTGACCTGGTGCAGTGGGGATTTGCAGAGGTGCACTGGGGCTCCCCACAGATGCTGTCTGTGGCACACAGGGAGGAGCATCCATGCTTGGTATAGTTGGAGATGAAAATACAAGATTATCCTTTATATTGAAAGAGAGGCTGTCACTCACCTGTTTTTCCTTGGCAAAAGGCAGTACGTAACGGTGGCCTGCCAAAGAGAAAAATCACAAATTAGAAATTAACCTCCCTTCATGCAAAACTAGTTCCTGCAAAAGCCCACAGAGGGATGGATGAATTCGTCAATTTCGGTTTCTCTCGGCTTCTCATTTCTTCCCGTCTTTTAGCTATAAACCAGGACAAGGACAGGGAACTAGATCCATCTTTCCTCAACCCCTGTGGGCAACTTTGACAGTTGGGCTGGGGCTGCCCACCTGACAATCACCTGATGTCACAATGTGGCCACACAGTACTTTGCAAGCACCCCTATGGTCGCTGGTGGGGAGCTGACAATCGGAGATCTGTGCATTGGAAGATGCCCCAGAGGTGTAGCTCTTGAGACACGAATATCAGAATACTTCAACTACCTATGCCAATTAGCATTGCATGTGCCTAGAAAGAGTTATAGGAATTGCCAGTTCATATCATTTAGAAAAACTAACCTATTAGACCCATTCTCGATACCCAAATTGTTCATAGTAATTCTCCCCTAACCGCTGAAGGAGTCCAACTGGGTCTAAAAGCCTTTGACTAAATTTGATGTTATTCATTGGTCGTAAGTATTTTGATCAGTCTCAGACATAAACAGAACAGGTTAAGTTGTCATTGTATTATCTTTGTGAATTTCTCCATTTCGACTGCATGCTTATGTTTCCACATTGTGTTAAAGTTGTATTTTATTTTCTTATAATATTTAGAAACATTTTTTTTCCTGTTCCTACCCAACTTAAATCTTTGAGTCTTGGTTTATATTGTGGGGATAGAGCATCCTTTTATCATGTTGCACAATTACTAAGAGAACATCTGTTCTTATCCATTGGGCTGCCTGGTTTTCTGTGCTCCAAATTCCAAGAATCTGGAGCTGTCCAGCAACATCCGTTGTCATTTATTGGAAGCTGGTGTGTTCACTGCCGCTGGGAGCATAGCCAAGATGCCGATCTCATTCTTTTCTCTAATTTCCGGCTAAGAGCTCTTGCAAGGTATAATACTGTCCCCTCCAGAAAGTTGGGAAAGAGAGAAAGCTGGGGCGGTAGGCAGCCAGAGTATTCTGAAGCTATGTAAGTAAACTCTGGTAAGATCACTGAGACGTAGGATTGTACAGTTGGAAGGTACCCCAACGATCGTCTAGTCCAGCCACTTGCAATGCAGTAATAGGACAGAAGAGTCTACGGTTGCCATGCCTAGTGAGCAAGCAACAGAGAGGAATGGAAACACAGACAGGAGAGAATACTGTACTAGGGGTATAAAGAGTTGAACTGTATAATGGAAGACAGGAGAGAACCCGCTGTATACAAAACAAAACAAAATGGGGGCTTATAATGAAAGAGGACAATGGAGGACTTTGAATATGTTCCCCACCAGGGGGAGCTCTGAGTGCAAGAGACCACCAGGGGTTCTGAGGATCTCTTAGTGAGGGATGCAGCAGCCATGATGTGGTTTAGTTATTTCCTCAGCAGTTCTTCACACATCTCACCTTTTTTCCTGAGGACAAAGCAGGCACAAGTCCCTCCGATCAGTGCAAAGATGGCACACGCCACTCCGGCCACCAAACCTAGGAAGACAAATGACAACAATGCTAGGAACCCCAATGCAAAACCCAGAAAAGCACAACTTCCAACGCTTCCTATTTCCGTCTGGGAAACACTAGGGTTTTAAGATGCCACATTTCTGGAAACTTTGAAGTTTACTGGGTGAGGGGGGAGTCAGTTTCAAAAATGTAAATGATGGGAGAAATCGAACTTTATGCCACCTTATCAAACCTAGACTGGACTTCAGGAAGAAGGGTCTAAATCTGAGTCCTCAAAATTAGCCAGGGTGAAATGTCTTTTTTGTTGTTGTTGATCTGTTGTTGATGACATGTAGTAATAATAATAATAGTGGTAGTAGTAGCAACCCTTAACGTTTTTTTACTGCACTTCTAAGTGCTCAAAGCACCCACCATGTGTTATCTAGCTGTGATCTTTTATTTGTTAATTTCCTAACCAGCCTTCCTAGGGCAGGTTTACAGCAATACAATTATAAAAGCAGTTATGCAATCAAATGGTTACAAAACCAAGTACAACAGTCCCAACCAAAACAGAGCAGGGGTTCTGGATTTTGACAAAAGTGATGGGTCCCCAAAACAAAACACCTTAACAGTGAAAGAGCAGAGCGAAGAGGTGCATCTGTAACACATGGCAGAAGCTGGATGCACCTCTGTAGGGAAGGAGTTTGCCTTTAGGGGCTGCCACAGAGAAGGCCCCCATCTTGGGCTACCTTTCCCCACATTCCTGACCATGGCAGCACTACTAAGAGAGCCCCCTCTGCAGATCTTAACATCCAAGAGGACCCTTAGGGATGGAGGCAGAAGTCCTACATGGCAAAGTTTGCAAACTTGTTCTTTTCTTCATGGGCCATTTGAAAATTGATGAGGGCCTTGATGGACCATATAATGTTATTTTTCTGCCCCGGGTAGCAATTGTAATGTGTTGTGCTGTAGTCTTTCCTTGCTTCATGTCCTTATTTTCATTTATTTGCTTCCTCCTGCTAATCCTAATCCTTCCCAAGGAAGGATCCAAAGGGTCATTTAGCCTCAGCGATGCAGGAGTCACAGCTTTAGAATCCCTGACAGATAACCCTCCAAACTCTGCTTAAATACCTCCAACGGAGAACCCACCACCTTCCTAGGTAGTCTGTTATTACACAGAAACAGAGAATTGTAGAGTCATAAAGGGCCCTGAGGATCATCTAGTCCAACCCCCCTGCAATGCAGGAATATGCAGCTGACCCATGCAGGTATCGAACCTGCAACCTTGGTGCTATCAGCACCATGCTCTAGCCAGCTGAGCTATCCAGGCCCCCTCAATGGTTGAGATGCATTCCTTTGACGCAAGCTGCTTTGAGCATGATTTTCTTTGTGGGGGGAAAAAACTATGAACAAACTACAAACGAATGAGTCCATCCCGACCCCTGCCTGGAAATGGCAAGTATTGAACCTGAGACCTGGCACTGCGGCGCTGTGTCCCCCTCTCTAAAAGAGGAACGTGAGCCCAGCTCACTCTGTACACTGCCTAGGTAAAGGTAAAGGTACCCCTGACCATTAGGTCCAGTCGTGACAGACTCTGGGGTTGTGCGCTCATCTCACTCTATAGGCCGCGGGAGCCGGCATTTGTCCACAGATAGCTTCTGGGTCATGTGGCCAGCATGACAAGGCCGCTTCTGGCAAACCAGAGCAGCACACGGAAACGCCGTTTACCTTCCCGCCGGAGCGGTACCTATTTATCTACTTGCACTTCGTGCTTTTGAACTGCTAGGTTGGCAGGAGCAGGGACCGAGCAACAGGAGCTCACCCCGTAGTGGGGATTCGAACCGCCGACCTTCTGATCGGCAAGTGCTAGGCTCTGTGGTTTAACCCACAGCGCCACCCGCGTCCCACACTGCCTAGAAGTTAAGTTAATTCCCCCGCCCCCCACAATGCTCACCAGCAATTTGAGACATGTCTGCTGGAGGCTGTTGCACAACCGTCTTCCCTGTCGGACTCCTGGTGACGAAATGACTCTTTGCAGTGAGTGTGGTGTGCAGAGGAGTGACCAAATGACTCTTTGCAGTGAGTGTGGTGCGCAGAGGAGTTGCCACGGTGCCAACAGGCACACCAAGATCGCGGCAAACTGCATCATGGGTGCTGTTTCCGGGAGTGATTTCTGATTCACAACTGTGAGGAACAAACAAAAAACAAAAAACGGGATTAGAAAGTGAAAAATCCGGCAAGAACCAGGAAAGTGTATGCTTATAACAATTAAACCAATCAGAGAATTGCAGAATTGCAGAGAAGAATGGCAAACTAAGCTGCTGGATTATGCCAAAATGGCAAAACTGACCGGAAAGCTCAGGAACCAAGAGGACCAAAACTTTAATAAAGAATGGGGGAAATTTATAATTTACTTGAGAGACCACTGTAAGCAGATGAAAACATTAGCAGGATTCCAATAACACTTGTAATGTAGAAAATACTATGGACAAAATGGAGAGACATAAGATTTGGGTGATGAAATAATATGCAGTTGATAATATTTTTTGATAATAGGGCACGTGGATGGGAAGGTGGGAAGTCTAGAGATTCTGAGAAATCTTTAATCATGGATTTGTATTTTGTATTGTTATAATTCTACACTTGTAAAATCGAAAAAAAATTATTTTAGGGGGGGAAAAGAATTGTAGAATTGGAAGGCACCCAAAGGACCATCTTATCCAATCCTCTGGAACCACAGCTAATATTTTTAAAATAATACTAAACTTTAAGGCACCAACTAGTGGGGACTAAGGTCACTGGTATAGCAGCTGCTTTGCATGCAGAACGTCCCAGGACCCAGTCTTCCCAAACCTGGAATTATTATGATTAAAATCTGTGTATCGCCCTTCATCCAGGGATCACTGGGCAGTTCACAACATAAAAACACAAAACGAGAACTCAAAATACATTTTAAAAAGCTAAAAACAAACACATTAAAAAGACCATGTAATGTTTAATCAGCCAAAGGCCTGGTTATAGAAGAATGTGTTTGTGTGCGTGTATTCTTAAAGATCACTTGGGTTTTGCATTGCCAGTAATTAAAGTCCAAGACGGGTCTGTGTACTCCATCACCACGAAAACCTGCTTCAACCTTAAAGGAAAAGCAGGACTGCTAGCATCCTTTGCAAGGCTGCCACCTGTGTATCTGCATATTTGGTGGAGAGATGGGGCAACTTACATCCTGTGAGGCCTGCAGGAGGCGCTGTGGGACTCCACATCTGAAAATGTGCCTGGACCGCAGGGCACACATTCCACATCACTATTTTCTGTGCCTACAAACAAACAAACAGGCATTTTCAAAGAGTTCTGGTTGGTCACGTCCATGGAAACATGAGAGCGGAAAATGGCTCAGAATCCCAGACCCAGATGCTTTGAAGTTGACCTCCCAGAGGAACCACAGTTCCCAGGTTCCCAGCTCACTTTTTAAACAGAGATAGAGAGTGTGTGTTTCTTTTATATATATAGAATTTTTATTAAATTTTCTGTTTTACAATTTAAAGTACTCATTTTTACATCCTTAAGATATCAATGACTTCCCTTCTTCTCTTTATACGGTTCATTTTGCATATCATAAATCCCTGCATATTTTACAAAAAACTATACCATTCAGTATTCCATTATTACGTCCATCAAAACTTATTTACACTGTTGAATTTATCTTAATGCTGCCAGCATCTTCAGCTGTACACAATTGTTTCCCACATATTCAACAGAGAGAATTTCTAGCATTTGTAGAAGGTGATACATGAGATAAAGGCCACATTCACACCATACATTTGAAGCAGTTTGACCCTTACTGTCCATAGCTGTCAACTTTTCCCTTTTCTTCTGAGGAATCCTATTCGGAATAAGGGAATTTCCCTTTAAAAAAGGGAAACGTTGACAGCTATGCTACTGTCATGGCTTCCCTCCAAAGAATTCTGGGACCTGTAGTTTGTTAAGGGTTCTGAGAATTATTAGGAGACACACACATACCCCATTCCCCTCCCAGAGTGGTTTAACAATCAATCCCTCTTCATAGGGAATCTGGGGAGTTGCAGCTCTGTGTGAGAAATCTCCTAATAACTCTCAGCACACATAACAAACTACAGGCACCCAGAATTTTTGGTAGGGGGCGGAGGGAGGAAGCCACGACTGTTTAAAGATGATGGCCCGTGTTTGGATATTTGAGGGGTGCAACTTAGATGATGGAGCAAATGAGTCTTCCGTTGCTCCAGAGGGCAGCACCCATGGTGGTTCAATTATAAGAAAGGACACTTTGACAAAACAGTAGGAAGAGCTTCCAAGCGACATGGACTGTCTTACAGGGGAACAGACCCCCCCCCCTTCAGAAAGTGATGGGCTCTCCTTAAATGTTTTAGAGCCTGGAATAAGCGCAGGAAAGTGGGGAGCAGGCTAATTTCTCACCTAAAATAAAACAATGAGAGGAATAGCACCTGTACATTTCAGGTGGTCCCACGTGTCAGCTGTACTCAGAGCAGACCAATTGAAATAAACAGATCTGATGAACTTAATTGATTTCAGTGGGACGCGGGTGGCGCTGTGGGTTAAACCACAGAGCCTAGGACTTGCTGATCAGAAGGTCGGCGGTTCGAATCCCTGAGACGGGGTGAGCTCCCGTTGCTCGGTCCCTACTCCTGCCAACCTAGCAGTTCGAAAGCACGTCAAAGTGCAAGTAGATAAATAGGTACCACTCCGGTGGTAAGGTAAACGGCATTTCCGTGCGCTGCTCTGGTTTGCCAGAAGCAGCTTAGTCATGCTGGCCACATGACCCGGAAGTTGTACACCGGCTCCCTTGGCCAATAAAGGGAGACGAGCGCCGCAACTCCAGAGTCGGTCACGACTGGACCTAATGGTCAGGGGTCCCTTTACCTTTTACTTTGAGTAGGACTTAGTTGGATACAACTTATTTAAAAGCGCTGCGATACCACTTCTTCGCTGAAGGGTTTTAAACAGAGGTTGGACAGACATCTGTCGGGGATTCTCGAACCGTGATGCAGCGGGTTGGACTAGATGACCCCTTGGGATCCCTTCCAACTCGACAGTTCTATGATTCTACAACAGCACTCTGCCCACCTGCAGCTGCCAGCAACTGGCACCCAGAGGCCTAATTCAGGAGAGATCCTGCATGACTACAGTTGTGGCAGTGCCTAAGAACTCTTTTTGGACACTTTGGGTGTTGCAAAGTAACCTATAAGCTTCCTAAAGATTTTGTGTGTGTGAAGTTTAGCATTTCTTTGCCTGAGCCGCACAGAAGTTTTACTGGCTCTTTGCCACGCTCCAAATCTCTCCCTGCATTATCGGCCACTGCCCTTTCCCGTCCCTGTGTAAACTTCCCCTTCCTGCCAGTGAACTTTGCACAACAACAAAACCTCCTACAACATGCAGGTCAGAGATTGCGCTCCTTCGTGTTCCCAGCCTGCTCTGGCTCGGCTTCCTTGGCTTCCTGGCGCCTCATTCCTACCTGACTTGCTACCTGCCTCTCTCTGTATCTGCCTTGATTGCCTTTCAGGAATTGAGCTATGGAAGAGCCATAGCTCAGGGGCAGAGAATCTGCTTTGCATGCAGAAGGTCCCAGGTTCAGTTTTACAGAAAGAAGGTCAGAAGGTTTTAGGTCATGTGGGTACAGCAACAGAGTTTACCCCCTGATATATTTCATGCAGGGATGGGGAAGCCTATGCCCTTTGAGAAGTTGCTGGCCTATAACCCCCATCATTTATTTATGTATAAACATATTCAAATATCATTGTATCAAATATTATAGATATTCATATATATATATATATATACACACACACACCACACACACCTATACATATATATATATATACACACACACACACACACACAAAATCACAGCAGTTTACAACAATATAAAAAAACCATAAACCGTACAACCAACCCCCCCAAAAAAACCATAAAATCATAAAAATTTAAAAGCAAAAAGAATTTTTTAAAACAAACATCAGTAGACTGTTGCGCTGGGGAATGTACTCTTAATTGCCTGGATAGGCGTGGCAAAATAAAAGTTTGCAGGCATTTGGCCCAGAAGGCACTTGCTGAATCTCTAGTGGCAGGGTATTCCACAGGACCGGGAAAACGACACTTGAAGGCATTTTCTCAATGCCATCAAATGAGTCTCACCAACTCTGGGAACAACCAGAGGCGCTGGCCATTGGCCATGCTGGTTGGGTCTGGCGGCAGATGTAGTCCCCAAAGACCATCAATTTCCTATCTCGAGTCACACCGAAGCCAGAAGTTCACACACATGCCTCTCCATTCTCCATCC